GATACCGCTGGGAATTGTGCTGTCAGCACTCCAAGAACAATGAGGAAAGCCAAAAATAACTGTTTGCTTTCGGTAATGACAGCACACAGCCCTCCCCTGGGGCCGGGGGGGTTCGCATGGGTCCCGTGGGGGCCCGGGGCTGGGAGCATCAAAGGGAAGCAGAGGTTAGGGATCAGCGTGCACCTGGCATTTCACCCAGGCAGGCTCTGCTTAATGAAAAAAAAAATGTATATAAAAAAAAAAAAACAGCTTTCAGATGGTTGCTTGGTGTTCCGGATGGTTCAGATGTTTGCTCTGCCCCCGCGTCGCTCTGTTCCCACCCTGGGTTTAACCCTCCTCGTCTTCTCCTCCAGTTCCTGGGCTACCTCCGGGCCTGCGACCGGCTGCTGAAGCAGGGCTACGAGGAAGGGCAGGTGGAGGAGGCCATGGAAATGTTCCAGTACTCGGAGAAAAAGGTCAGAGCGGCGCGGTGCCCAGCCTTTTGTTCCACCCGCCTGCCTCCTGTGAGCCCACACACCCTGCAGCCCGGGCTCAAACCCCCAGGATGATGTTGCATGGCCATAAGGGCTCGCAGAGGATTCTCTCCCTCCTTGTTCTCTCCCTCCTGTGCGAGTATGATGCTTGCACAGCCCCGGTGTGAATCCCATCCCCAGGCACACCACCATCCATGCTCTCTCCCTGCCTCCTGGCTGCCCATCAGCGTGTCCCAGGTACAGGACCACGCACCCCATGCTCTGTTCTCCACCAGCAATCCCATTTTGGCTGCTGGCAGTTAAGGATGGAAGGACCTGCACGGTGCACAGAGCCTGGTGGAGGAACTCTCCGAGCCACCTCGGTGCTGTTGGACGTGATGCCGGCCATCACGGCACGTGGCATCACCCTGCTCGCCTCTGATGAGGGGTTCAGCACCAGGATGGTGCCTGATTCTTGGATCTGGGAGGTTGAGGCTTGCTGAGGACACGGCCTGGGTGAGGTGTTGCAGCGAGGCCCAGGCTGAGCAGGAGGGGAAGCAGAAGAAATGACTTGCAGGCTGCTTTCCTCGGTCTGCTGCGGTAGCTCTGCAACGCAAACACGCGGCTGGAATTCATATTAAACTTTATAAGGAATAAGTGAGGTTAGAGGCCGACTTCATTAACTGTTTCCTATTTTTTAAAGCTGCCTAAAGAAAGACTTTGTAAAACTAGCACTTGGCCTGCTCCCTCGGTCTGCTCTGGCAGCGGGAGCTGCGGTGCCCTTCAGCAGTAACACAGCCCTGCGGGACCATCCAGCCCTGCCCGCTGAGATGGTGCACTGAAGGCATCCTGACGATAAAATCTCTCCTTTCTCTTCCTCCCCCTTCCAGGCAGCCGAATTCCTGCACTTGTTAGCTCAGTTCAACGACATGGGCTTCCAGCAGAACGAAATCAAAGAAGTCCTCCTGCTCTGCGGCAACCAGAGAGACAAGGCGCTGGAAGAGCTCATGATGAAGAGGCAGTGAAGGCGCCCAGCACCGATGGGCAGCTCCGTCCAGGACACCCAGCACTCATCCTGCTGCTCCATCCCCTCCCGGGCAGCAAGCAGCAGCTCACCAGCGTGGGTTCTCATCTCATCCGGGGACATCCATCACGCGCCAGTTTGTCATTGCGCCGAGGCTTCGCGTCGGCACTGTTTATCTCCTCACCCACACACATCCACCCTCGAACAACGCTGCTGTTTAGATTAGGGGGGGGTTGAGATCCAAGCTGCTTTTCCTTTCGGCTGTGTGAAAGCAGAAAGCCAGCCTTCTCCCTGCACCTGGGGAACGCGCAGCTCCTGCGGCTCGTTTCGGCAGTGCCGTGTTTACAAACAGAGCCACGCGCGGTGATATAAATCATCAGGAGAGGGTGTTTTCATCAAAGCCGAGTGCTTTCACAGAAACACCGCTTCTTCCTTTCTTGGGAAGGTTCTCAGCTGACTTCATGACGTTTGGGTGTTGTAATTGAAACCTAGCCGGATCGACTTGGTGTCTCCTTCTGAACGAGAAACTTGAGAAAAACGCACGGCTCGGTGAAGGGTTCGGAAGGGAAACAGGCTGCCGTTGTTCTAGGTAACTGAGACACTGCTTTTACCCAGCACGATGAAAAATGGCTTGTGCAAGGCTTCATGCTCAGGAAACTTCACGAAATCTGAGCAGGGAGATGAAGGACTGGCTCAGCTCTGCCTTTCATTAGGCAAATTCAGGGGATGCTTCCCTAAATTGCGGAGACAGTGGCTCAAAATTAGGTTAAGCACAAACATCGGGATCAGGAAAATCTGGATGCCTGGGGGAGTTTTTGTGTGTAACTACGTACAGAGACGGGGAGCTTCAGCTCACCATCATGCAGGATGTGTCTCGTGATTTGGCAGTGTAATGATGGGTAGTGTTTTCATATAAAAGTACATTATTTCCCCTGTGAATTCGATACAGATGTAATTTCTTTGAGTAAAGGTGCTTGGAGGGGTTCTTATAAAAAAGTAGTCGGTGTCTTTTCCTATGAAAATGCCAACTGGCACAACGTATGAGGGACAATTCTTATTAATTAGTTGCAAAGTATTTACCACTTTTCCATTGTGTCTTTCCAAGCAATCTCCTTGCCCAGTGCATTAAAATGCATTAATCAAATTCAAACAATGTGTCCCTGCTCCACTCTTCTTTGGGTAGCTCTCAAAACAATGCACGCAGGTGTAGCCCTCCACGAATGCCTCCATCCTTGCCCTGTGGCACAGCGAAGAGGACACTTTGCATCCAGATTTTGGGGGAATTGACCTGTCCATACCCAAGGATGGGCGTTTAATGCCTGCAACATCATGAATGTAAGTGAAAAGCAAAGTGAGGCACCTCCTTGTGTGGCCCCAGGAGATATCCTGCAAGGAAAAGGATGGGGAAATTGGTTGATGGAGCATGGGGTGGTCATCCCATCCCATCCCATCCCATCCCATCCCATCCCATCCCATCCCATCCCATCCCATCCCATCCCATCCCATCCCATCCCACCCCATCCATCCCTGGAGGATGGCTGCATCTTGCCTTCCTTGCAGCAGGTGGGAGCTCCCATCCATTTTTCCTGCAGGAGCCTTTGCTCGGGTTACACAAGCTTTTCTTTTCGATACGGCCCTTATAAGGCAAGTCCATTCTACAGACAGCTTTTCGTTACGTCCCTCCCTGCCAAGATGATGTCACCTTCAGCAGAAACTTGCAAAAGGTTAAGCTGTGATTAGATAGATCGCCTCGGCTCCGGCTGCAAGCTTTGGCGGAGCAAACCCCAGTTAAGATTTGGAGGGGCAGATAACGGCGCTGCGCTCGTGCCAGCACTGCGTAACATCGAGTGCTAAATTCTGGAGCAGCAAAGCAGATCTGCAGCATCGTGCCCACTCACTGTGCAAAGGCAGAACAGCCTCTCACGCTGGCTCATGTTTTTTTTTCCCCCCTGCTTGCAGAGGTACAAACAGCATCTTTTTCATCTTTTTCTCCCTCTAAAAATTGCCTGGTGTTACGCTCTGTACCGCTGTCTGGGTGGATGGATGCAAGCAAGTTACTCATCTCTTGGGAACGTCCATGCCCCGCTCCCCAGTGCCTGCCAAAGCTTGCCTTTTCCATCAGGTGCTACACTTAAAAAAGATCTTTTTCCCTTTGCAAACCTGTGAGCTGTTGGGAAAACAGTGCCCGAAGGTGGGGGAGAAGTTGCAGGGCTCGGTTGTTCCGGAGCTGGAAGGAATGGGAGAGGCTGCCAAGTTAAACTGTCTTGGGTTAGTCACAGAAGCTGCCATAAATATTTGAGTAACAGAAATGATTTTAACTTTATTTTAATGGAGGCTTTAAGCCCGCTCTTCAGCTTAACGTGCTTTAAAGCAGCGTGCTCCCGTGCGCTGCTTCCAGTTGGGAGAAGACAGCGCGAAATGTTAATTGGCCTCGTCTGGGAAGGGAGCAGGGATTTGACTCGATGGGATTTATGCTCGCAGCGTGCTCAGCTCTTCCGAATTCCTCCTGGGGTAACACAGGAGGTTACAGAAAACAAACCCGAGGGGAAGGAGGGGGAAGGCAGCCTTGTGGTGGGGAGCCAGCGCAGGGCAGCTGATGCTGATGGGTGCTGATGGCAAGCTTGGGTTTTCTTGTTTATTTTGGTGGTGTTTTTTTTTCTCAAATGCAGTCTGTTTCGAAAATGCTGAGAACTTGGCGAGGGCCAGCAGTGTGAGCGGCGGAGCCGTCCCTAATGGTGTGCCCTGACCCCAGGGGAGGGGAGCAGGGACACCCTGGTGCACGGGAGCCCGAATGGGCGATATTTGGGGTCTGCTGCCAGCTTAATTCCCTGTCCCTATCCCGCCCGAGGGACAGCAGCACGAAGCATTTGCCAAGGGAGGCGAGGGCAGCAATCTCTGAACATCCCCAGAGCAAAGCCAGGAGCTGGCAGGGGTCTGACAGCCCCCAGCATTTTGGGATTGTGGCTGACCGGGATGGCTCAGCTGGTTACGGAGCTCTGCTGGCTGAGGACACCTGGGCACCTGTCCTCTCCTTCCATTTTCACACCCTCTGTGTTTCCAAGGTTTGTTTTGTCCTAAAAAGCCCCCTCTGGCTTAAACAAGAGGAGAGCTAGCCCCTATCTATGCTTTGTGTCTCCCTGGAGGCTGGCTGGTGCCCTCGAGGACACGACGGATGCTTCCCAGAGAGGCACCCACTCACCTCAGAGCACAGCCTGCCCCCGTGCAGGTTTTTGGAGACAAACCCCAATTCTGAGGTCTCTCCCCTCCATCCCCCCGTGCCCCTTTGTCCCCCTATCCCGGGTGCAGCCGGTGCATCCCCGGGGAGCTCGGGGCTGCCTGGGAACCGCGCTCCTGCCAGCAGCTCTGAGCGGAGCCGCAGCTGAGAAAGCATTTGGTGTGTGGTCGGAGAGCAAAGGGGACAGGAGGGAGCGTTGACGTGGGTCCCCCCTTCGGAGGTATTTCCCTTTCTGAAGGGAAAAAGGAAAAAAAAAGCCACGAGAGAAGAGCAATGAAAACCACAGGGCTTTTTACAGCTTTCCTTTTAATTCCAGGATGTGGAGACTGATTTCCCAGCGGAGCAGAGAGCAGGAGGGATGCTGCGCACCTTCAGAGCGGGGCCAAAATCGGTCAACCTAACGTCTGCACCTCTCCAGAGCCCGTCCTCTGCAGGGGCCACAGGGCCCTGCACTCACATTTGGTGGGACTTGGCGCACGGCTGCTGTGACATCCCGCAGCCCCTTCCCCTCTGGCAGGGCCAGCGTCACCTCCAGGTCCAACGCGCCGCCTCCGTGGACCCGGGCACAGCTCCGCAGAGGAGGAGAGGAGCCCAGGGGAGCGGCCAGGTGCGAGGGGAGCATCCCGAGGTGGGCTGGGGGCCGCCTACGTGGCGACGTCGTGGTCGCGCCGCGGCAGGCGCAGGAGGAAGGTCTGCAGGGAGCCGCTGCGGGGGAAACCCGCCCGCTCCTTCTTGAACCTCCAGGTCTCCTCTTCCACCGAGTAGAGGAGCGTCAGCATCTTGTTGACCGTGTAGACCGTGTCGCCCTTGATGAGGGCGGTGAAGAGGGCTCCTTTGCTGTTGAGGAACTGGCCGGGCAGAGCCGTCCACTGCCGCGAGGTCAGGTTGAAGCAGTCAATGACGCAGCGCAAGAAGTCGTCCGAGGGGCCGTTGCGCATGACGTAGAGGTTGTCGCGGTGGGCCACCATGCAGTGCCCGTAGCTCTGCTGCCGCTTCAGCTCGGTGACGGGGAGCCAGGCGTCCTGCTGGCTCTCGTACTCGTAGATGACGGTGGTGTCCAGCGGCTTCCACAGGCAGACGAAGATCTGCCCCAGGGCTTGGGCGCAGGGCGCGGCCGAGCTGGGCTGCGGCAGGTCAGAGACGAAGGTCCAGGTGTTGGAGGACACCTCGTAGCGCTCCACGGATTTCAGCGAGATCTTCTCGTACTCGCCGCCGATGGCGTAGAGGCAGCCCTCGTGGCCCACCAGCCGCACGTCGTAGCGCAGCTGGTGCGGGCTGGGGAACTCGCTCCAGGCGTTGGTGTCGGCGTCGTAGCAGAAGCTGCTCTCCACCACCTGCTTGCTGGCTCCGTAGACGCCCCCCACGATGTAGATCTTGTTGTCCATGGTGGCCATGCCGGCTAGGAACGTGCTGGCGCTCAGCGGCAGGCAGGAGAGGGTCCGCCACGTGTTGGCCTCCTCGTCCAGGTAGCAGATGGTCCTGGAGAGGTCCTCCAGGAACTCGAAGGTGGGAGTGTGGGCTCCCACGGCCACGAAGGAGCTGGGCAGGAGGGCTTCCACGTAGGCCAGCAGGTCGGCGGAGAGGCAGTCCAGGTAGTCCTCCAGCTCGGCGTAGCTGTCCCTGATGTAGAGCGCGGCGCGGTGGAAGAGGTCCAGGAGGCCGAAGATGGCCGCGGCCTGGTAGAGCAGGATGCAGTTGTCGGAGTTGATGGTGTTGATCAGGTACTTGGCCAAGGGCTTGGCCTGCAGGAAGGCGGCGCATTCGACCGCCTGGAAGGTCTCCTCGCCCCCCAGCACCGGCCGCTCGCCCGCCAGCACCCGCAGCATGGCGAGGAAGCCGGCGGCGCTCAGCTCCCCCAGCACGATCTCCTCCTGCTTGCTCTCCTTCATGCCCGAGCGGAACAGGGCACGGAAATACTCGCTGCTCTCCACCAGCACGGCCTTCTCCACCGAGAACAGCTGCCCCTCCACACGGATACGCACACTGCCCGGTGCCCGAGCGCCGTCCTCCTCCGGGGTCATCCTCGCCCGGCTCTCGGGGGGCAGGGGACAGCCCCCGATGCTCCTCCTCGCCGTGCCCGGAGGCCTCCTCCACCCTTGGGCGTCTTTGCCGTGCTGCCGCCGCTCGCTTGTAATATAAATCCCCTCGGCTAAAGATAGCCCGGCTCGTGATCGGCCCCGCGGGCAGCCAGCGGCCCCTTTCCAAGGCATCCGCCGCGCTCGCCGCCCACCCTAAAGGCAGGGGGGTCTCCGGTGGGGGCTGCAGGTCACGGTGTGGCTGCTGGTAATTTTGGGCATCCTCCCCGTGAGACCCCAAGGGGCCGCTTCCCACCGCAGGCGCCGGGCATCACGGGGAGGGCTCCACGTGGTTGTCGTCCAGCTGGGTCGTGCTGCCGGGAAGAGCAGGGCTCTGTACTATTTTTTCCCTCGCAAACATCGGTTTTACTGGCCATGGGGGGGTAAGGGACGTCAGCAAGCCTCGGTGCCTTCCAGCCCGGCCGTGGGAAAGGGGCTCTGCGTGGCCAAGGGCAGGGAGAGATGTTTACTGGGGGAGCTTCCCTTTGCAAACGGGCTCTGGGTCTCCCTTAGGTAGGAGACACTTGAGCAACAGGGGCAAAATTCATCCCTGGCACACTGAGCGATGAAAACGTGTGCTTTGTTTGGGGACCCCGTGGCAATAGAAATGAAGTGCACAACTGCCCGAAAATGAGAGCCCCCTGGGGCTCACCCTGCAGCACCCAGATGCAGCAGAGCCTGGAGGGGCTGCGGGTGGAGACGAAGCCACCTGCGACTCACGTAAAGAAAAAAAAAAAAAAAAAGAAGAAGAAGAAAAGTGTCCTTTGTGGCATGTTGCTCATCTGCGTGCTGTTCACAGCTTTTTCTGGTTAGAAATCCCGTTACGCATCCGCTGCGGGGTGCAGAGGAGGGCAGGCACCACCTGCAGCCCCTGATTACTTCAGAGCCATAATTTAAGGCAAGCAGCCTGCCCTGCCCCGAGGCATTTGGTCTCTTTCTCTTATTCTGGCTGGTTTGGGTGTCCCAGCATGGAGCAGTGGGGTGCATGGGGGTGGCAGTGCCGTGGCCCTACTGGGTTCCCCCCAAAGCCCCCACACGGGCAGAGGACAAAGCTCAGCAGCACCCCGGCAGCTGGCTGCTTTATGGCAACCTCTGCCAGAAGATCTTGAATGGCTTAAAAAAGAATAAAAATAATTTGGCTCTGATGCCTTGAAGTGTGCTCTGCCTGTGCCCAAAGGCGATTTGGGGCAGGGGGGTTGTTACCATCCCACCAAAATCAGTCCCTGGAGGGGTTTTGCTTCCCACAGGGGACTGACCCTATCCATTTGTCCATCCCCCCTGGGACAGCAGCGATGCTTGCAGGGGCTTCCACGGTCACAAACTATTTTGGGAGGGTTTAAAAATATCCTCCTGTGCGCTACCGGGCAATCATCCCAGCGGCGCAGAGCCCCGCATGGCCGCAGCAGCCCCCGCACCCCCCAGGGTGACCCCAGCCCCTGCACGACCCCCCTGGGGGGCCTGCATCCTGCCCTGGAGGGGTGCCGGGCGCTGAGCCCCATCCCAAATGGCTGCGATTGCCATGACAACGCTGACTTCAGCTCCCTCCTCCTCCTCCTCCTCGCTTTTGGAGCCCGTTGGGCTGATGGCTCGGCGCGGTCAACAGCGGCGGTGAGTCCTCCCCTTGGGATCGCGTATTTTTGGGTGGAAAAAGGAGATTATTTTTTTTTTTTTCCCCCCGCTGAGCCTGCCAGCAGGCAGGCGGTGCCCGTGCCCTGAACTGCTTCTTGCAGGGAAGGAGCCGGGGAGGACGGCGGCCGTGCTGGCACCAGCGCTCCCGTGCGCTGCGTCTGCCCACGGGAGGTGCAATGAGTGTGCCGGCCTCAGCTTGGGTGCTGCAGGGCTCTGGGGGGGGGAGCCAGGCTCTGCTTTGGGCTTGTAGGGTCCCAGCGAGGTTCTGGGGAAGGGGAATGTGTAAAAGTGGCCACCTGGGAGCTGAGCTGGGGGGGTCCCCAGTGGAGGCGATGCCGGCGATGGTTCCCCCGCCAAGCGCCACTGGGCACCAGTGGGGAGCCTGCTGCTAGCTGGGGGTCTGTGGGGCTGCCCTCCCCGGGGCGTTGCACCAAGGGGACAGTCCTTGGGGCGGCTGGGGACGCGTGTCCAGCCCGGCCCCGGCGCGGCAGCTTGCCTTACAAGGAGTTTGGCTGGGGCGCGAGCGGTGGGAGCAGCGCTCGCCTCCGCCTGCCTCATTCATTGGGAGCGCGGGCGGCGCAGGGGCCGCTGCTCCCCCAGCCCCGCCGTGGCCTCCACGCACCCGGCGAGCCTCGGAGGCACAGGTGGGAGGCTGCTTTCCTCTCTTTCTCCGCGGGTAGAGGGTGGAAAAGGGGGTCCCTGTCTTGATTTTTGGCTCCAGGGGCTGAGGCTGGAGGCGAGCGCATCCCCTCGCCGGGTGGCGAGAGCGGCTGCGTCCCCGCTGCCCGGCGGGGAGGTGGGTGAGGGTCCCCACGTCCCCCCTGCTCTCTCCCGCAGGACCCAGGATGTCCTCGATGTTCGGCAAGCCCCGGGCTGGAGCCGAGCGGCCACCCCAGAGCCCCCTCGCCGAGTGCAACGTGGCCATCCTGGGGTGCCGAGGGGCCGGCAAGTCAGGTGAGAGCGGGCACCCACGCGCCCCCCGAGCTGCCCAACGCTGCCCTGGGCTTTTCGGCACCCTTGGGTGCCCACCCAGCTTCAGCTCCCATGCACCCTGCTGTCCCAGCTCCTGCCCCATTGCAGCATCCCTGCCCCGATGCTGTGCACCAGCCCCAAGAATTTTTTATTTTTATTTTTTTTCTCATGTTTGGGAGAGGAAAAAGTTTCTCTGCAATCTTCCCAGAGCGGGTCAAAGCCTTTTGGGTCAGGCCCATGGCCGTGGCTGGGTTCGTTTGCTTTGCATGCAATGCATGTGGTTTTTTTTTTAGGGTTATTTGTGGACGTTTAGGGTAGCAGCAGCATCTCTGCTTGTGCAGATCGGGGCCAGCAGGCGGGGGCTGAGTGGGTCCTGCTGGGGAGGACTGCGTGGGTCCCCGAGCATCGGAGCCCAGAAACCCTCCCCGTGCCCCACCAGTGGTGCGAAAACCTCCCAAAATAACCCAGAATGGCTTTATTATTTATTATCCACGAGGCTCTTCTGGGAAAGGCGGGCAGGATTTGGGGAGAAGAGGTGCATTTTGGCCGCGAAAGGGGGGGTGACAGAGTGGGGGCACACGGGGCGCTGCTTCGAGGGGTGACCGTGCTGTCCTCACCCAGCCCTTCCCATCCCGCAGCCCTGACGGTGAAGTTTCTGACCAAGAGGTTCATCAGCGAGTATGATCCCAACCTGGGTAAGGCACCATCTCTGGGGTTCTCTCCTCTCCCTGTTTTTTTTCCCTGCATGTCCCCGATGCTGCTCCAGGCAGAGCACCCTTCCCATGTTTCCCACGAATATGGCATTTAAGGAGAAAAAAAAATAAATTAAAGACATTAAAAGCAAAAGAAGGGCTGGATTTGACCCAAACCACCCTGTAAAAACAGCGGTGAAAGCGGTGCTCGCCCCATGGGCACATCCCACAGGGAACATCAGCTCCTTGCATCTCCGTGCCAGAGGCAAAACCCAATTTTGGGGGCGTTTTGGGGGTACCCGTGCCTCCTGCTCTCTCTTTGGGGTGTTTTGCAGGAGAAGGGGACGTGTAGGATCTGGTGTCCCCGGGGGCTGTGCTGTGCAGCGAGTGGGTCTGGGCATTTTTTTCCGCTCCGTTTGAGTAATTAATAACTATTTTCCTAGGCCTGCCTCCAGTGCGCAGTGAAGAACTGTAAATGATTTATCAGGGACATTAGGGAGATATGGACCCCGTCCAGGAACCAGCTCCAGCCCCTCATAACTCTTAGGAAAGAAGGAAAAATCCTTTATTCAGATCTTGTTTGTGGTTTCGTGGTGGTTCTGCCGTCTTCCTGTGGCAAAACCTTCCCAAAACGCATCCCCAGCTGGGAGAGGGCAGCTTCCAGCTGGGGCACCCCACGGGAGCCCCGCTGTTCCTAAAGCCCTGCACCCATTTCTAAAGAAAGGAGCTGCTCCTTTTGCCTGATTTCTCAGAAGCCAGCTCCGTGGCAAGCCCCCAGCAGGTTTTATCTCTCTGGGTCTATTTAGATAAGGGCTGAGCCAGGGCGCAGCCACGGTGGCTGTGCTGGGTTCCTTGCCGTCCCCATAGGAGCCCACAGAGGGGACAGGGGGTGATCAGCCCACCACAGATTTTGGGGAAATCTCATGGGGGTGAACCCTGGAGGGAGCTGAGGGCGTTAGGGAGGGTTTGGCTGCTGTGGCTCGGAGGGGTGAGGATGCTGTTAGGGTGAGGCTGGAGGGGGACCCAATTTCCAGCAAAACGAGGGCACGAGGTGCTGAGCTGTTTCGGTCCTAAAGAGCAAAAATAAATCAATCCCATCTTACTTTTTGCATGCAGTAGGAGAAAGCTGCCCCCTACCAGGTTTGCCGAGCGGCCTCACCGCTGCGCCCACCTCCGGCCACCCCAAATAACGCCCGTGTAGGAAGGAGCGAGGCGAGAGGACGCTCCTCACCAGGAGCTTTGCCCACCACATCCCACCCAGCCAGGGGCTTTGCTGGGTGTTGGGGAACGTCCATCCCATCCTCACGGCCCCATTTCCCTTGCAGAGGACACCTACACCTCGGAGGAGCTGGTGGACCAGCAGCCCGTGCTGCTGAAGGTGATGGACACCGCCGACCAGGTGAGGGGCCGGGCAGCTCTCCCCGTGCCTCCAGCTGCACGGGGCCGGCTCTCACCCCGCTCCTCTCGCCCCCAGGACGGTCCCGGGAACTGCGAGCGCTACCTGTGCTGGGCCAACGCCTTCCTGGTGGTCTACAGCATCGACGACAGGGAGAGCTTCGAGGGCTGCCGCCGCTACCTCGATGTCCTCGCCCGGCACGCGCGGGGCTGCCAGCACGAGAGCCCCGTGCTCCTGCTGGGCAACAAGCTGGACATGGAGCAGTACAGGTACCCACAGCCCCTCTTATCCTGCTGGGGAATTGCTCACGGATCCCTCCCATGTGGGTGAAAAGCTCAGATTTGAGGGTTTGGGATTTTTTTTTTTTTTTTGTGGTTATTTCCACCCGCGTTGGCATTTGTCGCATCCTCGTGCGTATCCGGGGCGGGCTCTGCCGCCCACGGGGGGATGCGCTGGCACGGAGCCCACCCCTGCTTTTGGTGGGATGTTTTTTCAGCTGTGTCATGAGGCAGCGTCAGCATGCTTTGGGCTTCGAGCTCCAGCTCCTTGCGGGCTGTTTGTGCTGCTCTGGGACACTCTGAGCTCAACTTGAGCCCTCGACTCAAACTTCCTGATTTAGCCATGCCCAAAAGGTCCCGCTCTTGGGTCCTGCTCTGTCCCCTTTCCATGGGGATGTGCTGGCCCTGCCATCACCCCCAGCCCCCTTTATCCTCCCTTGGCACACCTTTTTGTCCCCTGCTTGCCCCAAGACACGGGGACTTGCCCCTCTCCCCTTCCCGCACCATCACACCACCAGGACGTGCGCCCCGAGCGAGGCTGCGCCCATCGTCCCCCATCCCCTCCGCAGGCAGGTGACCAAAGCCGAAGGCACGTCGCTGGCCAGCAAGTTCGGGTGCCTTTTCTACGAGGTGTCGGCGTGCCAGGACTTCGCGGCGGTGCAGCACGTCTTCCACGAGGCGGTGCGGGAGGTGCGGCGCGAGGCGGAGCGCAGCCAGCCCCTCCGGCCCCTCTTCATCGCCGAGGAGCGGCCCTGCCTGCACGTGGCCACCCCGGCCACCTTGGCCACCCGGCAAGGGCTGGCCAGCTGCACCCTCAACACCCTCTCCACCGTCAACTACAAGGAAATCCCCTCGGTGGCCCAGGCCAAGCTGGTCACCGTCAAGTCCTCGCGGGCTCAGAGTAAGAGGAAAGCGCCCACGCTCACCTTGCTGAAAGGCTTCAAGATATTTTAAGGCGCTTCCCCGCGCAAGGGAGCGGTGAGAGATCCCCGGCCCCCGGCTCTGCGAGGGGCTGGGAGCATCGGGAGCGGGGACCTTGTCCCGTAGACACGCGCACAGCCCTGCCTGGGCGATGAATCTGCGGATTTGGGCACCTCCCGGGGCCGGGAAGCATCGCTGGGAGGGCGAGGGCTGACCCCGGGGCCGTGCTGCTGGATGGAGTCCGTCAGGCAGAGGTGGGGAGCCCAGGAAGGGGGAAGGAATCCCCAGGCACAGAGGAGCCCATGTCGTTCACCTGACAGGTCCCCTCGCCGAGCAATAAGAGGAATTTCTTTTTTAACCTGAACGGGAAAGTGGCGGATAACGTTACAGCCGACCAAAGGTCTCAGGTGTCCTAAAATTGATTCCCATGCATTGAAATAACTCGTACCAAAATAGCTTCTTTTTTTAACCAACTTTTATACGACAGTGTTCCTTTTCAAAGGCTTTGCACGGAGAGATGCTTCACCGACCAGGACGCATTCCTAAAAGCTTTTTGTTTAAAGGACTGGTGTGATGGACTTCCCAAATGTCTTAAATTATTTCGTGGCCTCTGCGTGCGCCCTGTGAGGGGCGTGAAGACAATCCCAACACAGAGCACCGTGCGCCGTGACCAGGCTCTGCCTGTGCCCAGGCCAAGGGCTGTGTGTTGGAGCTCACCTGCTGCACCAGGACAAATGTTCTGCTTCTCCCTGGAGTTGCACGGATCTGCAGAGTGAAACACCCCCCTGGACATTTGTACATATATACATAATATATATACGACCTTAGCGACGTAGAGAGAGATTCGATAGGGGATTTCAATCAACTTTGGCAAATATTTTAATAAAGATGACTTTTTGAAAAGAGCAAACCCTCCTCTGCTTCGGTGTCGGTGTTTTCCTGAGGGCTTGTTCCCCAGCTGACCGTGGCGAGCCCCCAGCCCGTGGTGCCAGCACAGGCGGGCGGCATCTGGGCAAGGGGGCGACGCTGGCGGGAGGGAAGCCTGGAGGCAGCTGAGAGCAGCGGGTAAAGAGCACCCAGACGGAGCTAAAACGGGGGAGGCACGGCTCTGAGAGTCCAGAGCCACTTCTGCTGATGCAGCTCTGCTGCTTCCTTTTTTTTTTTTTTCTTTTTTTTCTTTTTTTCCCCCTCCCCAGGCTAAACTGCATTGTTAAATTTCCCCATCTCCAGTGTGAATCGAGACATTTTGATGCTTTCCTTTGAGGATAAATGCTTGGCCCCCAGCTGCTGTTACATGGCATCCTCTGAGCTCTCCTTGTACAGCGTGGTGACCGTCCCGTCCTTCCACTGAACCAGCACCTCCCCTGCCCTCTCCTCCTGCAGCGCCGGCTCCCGCGGCTGCGGGCTGCCCGGGCTGTACTCCTGCACCGGTATCAGGGCCTGCTTGGCTTCCAGCTCGGCTTGCTGGGCAGCTTGCACTGCTTCTTTGTACATGTGGATCTTCCTCTTCCTGCAGGGAAAGCGGGAGAAGGAGATAAGGGGAGAAGCAGCGAGCTCAGCCCACATTTGGGGCACATGCCCGAGGTGCTGTTACATCCATCCCTTTGTGTGCTTGGCCCCAGGAAGGCGTTAGCTGCTTAGGGGAAGTGCTGCCAGCCACGCTGTGTCACCGAAGTGCTCTGAAGTGTCTGAGTACACACAGCCCCAGTGTTTACACTTGGAGAGCACAGCGCACCACTTAAAGCAAGGCAGTGACACCCAGAGAGACATCGTTAAAATGAGAGGATGGCCGGGCAGACCTGCAGCATCTCTTTTAGGCTTATCTCAGGGTGAAAGCTCGGCCCCTCGTGTGTTTTCTCGCTCCAGAAGGCAGCGAGTTACTCCTCAGCTGCAGGGCTGCTGTGCTGCAGGATGGCCCAGGGAAGCACTGTGGGATCGCAGATGGCTGGGGAGTTCTGCTTCAGGTCCTGCGTGCCCCTATATTTATGGGAGGGCACCCCAAATACACACATTTTGTGGCGTTTTCCTCCCAAAACCTCTCTTGGGCTGGCCAGTGCTTTTGCACATGCTTTACTGGTGAGGATCCATGGCACAGAGAAGTGAAGGTGCTTGTTCTGAGTGGCACATGAGGAGAGCAGGAAGGCAGGGAAGGTTTTACGGTGAAGCAGGGGTCAAAGGAAGTTTGTCTTTGCTCTTTTCTCCATCCCTCAGTGCTTGTTCCTGCCCAGCCAACCCCCCATGTCATCCGTTTGAGGTCCTTAGTGCACCACCACACCCCGAATTTTCCTCACTCACCTGTTTCGTGTAATGTTAATGCCCAGGAGGACAAGACCCAAAATCGTGGCCACGAAGGAAAGCGCGAGGACAGAGTAATTCCACGATGATGCTGGGGGAAGCACAGAGAGGCAGCGTTAGCATGCACAGAGCAGGGGTCTGCAGAGCCCAGCCAGGTGCTTTCCAAGCTAATTAATCTGCCTCACGTGGGTTTTCCACTTTTGAAAGCTGTGAGAGGCTGTGCCCGAGGGTGGGAGCAAGGCCGAGAGGTGCAGCACCCCACCACGAGCACTGCTCTAAAAAACCCTCCTCTCTGCAGCCTTTCTCACCACTGCCACGCTCAGGAAGGTGAATTTTGCCCCAGAATATGGGATGTGCAGCGCGGATGGCAGCAGATGCTCTGTCCTTGAGTTTTGTGGCTTTGAAGTTGACCCTCGTGGCGCTGACCCGCTCATATCGATCCGCTCCCGTCACCCTGCCAAAATCACTGGTGATCTCAGACCTTTGCTCTTTTGGCAGCACATGCCTGGAAAGAGGCTGAAGCCCTCTCTTGGAGAAGACCCTACCACAGCAAAACCCCAGGCCTGACTTCACCCATGGCCTGCTTCTCTGGGAGGTGAGGCCGAGGGTTTATACACCTGGGGTAAAAAACCTCCTCGGATAATTCCCTCAGGCACCTCTGCTAGGCAGGAGGGTTCCCGGCCAAGGGCTGTGCATTTCTGTTCGGACTCAGCCCAGGAATGTCTGCAGGACTTACGGTCTTCTGTGCGGAAGAACCACAGCAGATTGTTCAGCTCTTCTGGATCCATGCCCGCCACCAGGGTGGAGTTGTACTGCTGTGTGGTCGTACACCTGCGTGCTGGTGAGGGCTGCGTAGAAGTAGCTGTCTTGCACCACCCTGGCTGTGGAGGAGAAGAACAGAGAGATACAGAGGTCTTTCACTGCAATGAAAGACGCTGACTCTGCCCTCCCACCTTCCCTGGCATGTGCAGATGCACCACTGGGACCTGGTGGGCAGCACTCACCTGCTTTCTCCTTGCAGATGTTCCCCTCCGTGACACCTTGCTGCCACTGAGCCTTGAGGCCTCTCACATTATCGAGGCTAACTCCTTTCCTGCTCGCCACCAGGTAGCTCTGGCTGCTGCCCAGAGGGGAGAGCAATGAGTTGGAGCAGTCCCAGCCCGTGGAAGCTGTGTTGTCACAGGGGCTTGTCTGCACCTCGCTGTCCCCCAGCACAGAGAGGCAGCTCTGCGTGCCCTGATTCTTCAAGGAATCACCCTGCCAAGACCACTGCTGCCAATCTGAGTCTGGGTCACAGTCCTCCAGCTGTAAACTCTCGTCTGTAGGGCTGGCTTGTAAACACAGCTTGATTTTGGCATTCTTCATCAGAAAAGCTTCCGTGTCTGCAAAGAAACCAGAACGTGAGTGTGGCCACCCTGTCACAACACGAGTGTGTCACCTCCGTGACCATCAGGTGTCTCCCCTGGTGTCAAAGAGGTTGCAATACTGCTGTGAGCAAAGGCTTAGGGTGCAGCTTTCCCCATGGTCAGGCTGCTGCTGCCTCTCACGTGTGTGCCTCCAGCTCCTGTGAGCCTGCCCTGCACACAACGCTGTGTCGTGGCCCCTGCTGAGCTCAGAGTGGGCGAGAATCTGTGAAGAGGCTCAGCCTTGGCATGTGTCGCTGCCTTCACCCACACCGCTGTCCTCTGAGCCTTTACCTTGCAGCAGGAAAAAGGGGATTATCCAGAGTATCTTCATATTTGTACGTGCAGCTCGGATGGATCACGGCTTCACCAGCGTTCGTTCAGTGTGCGGATGCCTGGGAAAGAGAGAGGTGAGAGGGGAGGAACAACCTCGCAGTACCTTCCTGTAGCTCCCCCTGTGCAGTGCCACGGGTTTTATCAGTGGGAGCCCTGGCGTTATCGTGCAGAGGGAGTGGAGAGAGTGAGCCAGCACGTTCCTTTTCTGGTGTCTACAGAAGATGAGACAAGAGTACAACTAGAAGCGACGATCTTCTAAACAACCCTGTGCTCATGCTGATGCCCCTCCCTGCTCCAGCTTTGTATTCAGACAGGGGACCTGATGTCCCTGTGCAGCTGGGCCATCTCTTTTCCTTCTGCAGATGTGAGTTTTTGCTGCCAGGATGGGGTGCAGACACAGGCAATGGCTCTGGGACCCACTGGGGTCTGGCACAGGGGGGGTCTGGCACAGGTCTGGGGTGGGACCCCTCGCCTGGGTGATCCTGTACAGGTGGGAGCTTGGTGCTAGAGCCAGCCCCTCCCCAAATAACCTGGCTCCTTCCTCGCTCCCCTGCCATGATCCCAGAGAATATGCATTTTGTGGGCAGTGATGATCTGCTGACGGCCCGGGGATGGCAGAACAAGGGTGTGGAGACGAGGAAGCAGAGGGCTCAGCTCCAAGAGGAGGACTAGCCAGCTTGCCGTTGAGGCAAAGGTATCTCCCATCCCTCAGGGAAGCAGAAAGCTCCTCCTTGACCTTTAGTCCCTCATTTGTCAATGGCATCAGTCCAGCTTTTATAGCTGCTTGTCCAACTCAATTCCTCAGCCTCCTTTGGAAGGACCTGAGCAGAGCAGAGGGCTTCCCAGCCCCCCTGGCTCCGTCTCCCCAGCACTGCCCTCCCAGTGCATGACGCAGGCGAGGCCAACTGAGCTCGGGCAGTTACATCCACATTACCCCTAAAAGAACAGCTTGGGCGTAGGCGTTTTGACAGCTGAACCCCAATATGTGGCCACCCAGCTGGTGGTCCCCGAGCCGAGCTACTTGTGGGTGGAAGAGGCTTGAGCACAGGCTCTCAGCAGGGGCTAGCACTGCTGACTAGGGTGTTCCCTGGAGGAATAATGACTGCCAAGGGAAGGAATGGGCTCAGGGACAAGGAAAATCGTCCACTGCGAGTTACCTCGTGACCGTGAGGTTGGACCTACCCAGCCCACTGCTCAGCCACCAGAGAGCAGAGCTGCTGTCACTGCTCGCTGGCCTCGTCTGAACCGTCACCCGCTCGCAGGTGAACAACACGCTGGCCCCACAGGCGATTAATTATTATATGAAGACCAAGACCTGTGTGACTGCCTGACACTCACAACTTTCATTCTCACTCGTAGCGTGGCCCCGCACTGCCTAAAACTGTTCCCTGGAAATCGCTCGCGAGCATGTTCCGCGGCGCCAGGCGTGTCAATAACACTCCTGCTGACTCCTCAGCCAAGCGTTCGTCCTATCGGTTATAGACCTAATGATTGCCACTATTTCCACCCCCCCTTCTCAATGTCTTCACAATTCAAAGTTCACTTTTTATAGCCAACCAGGCATGCAGGCTTGCTGCCTCCTGCCAGAAAGCTGCCTGTTAGCGATGCTTGGAGGACAGGGCTCCGAAATATCTCACGTGCCCCCCTTTGGTTCCGTATTTCAGAAAATACGAATAAAGCTGCTCCCCGCAGTTAGGTACGTCAATTACCTTGCAGTCCAGGTAAGCTTTAGCTATTGACATGGATCACTCCACAGCAAGGAGGAAATAAAGTGCTGATGCCAATGAAACCAACTTCCAAGTCTGCTACACCCTAATAAGAAGTGCCACTTGAATGTGTAAAGTCTTCCCGTGCAAGGCTTCTGTCTAATCATTTGCTCGAGCAAGAACATTTGACATGCAGGTTGCTCGTTTTCTCCTGAGGTGTTTCACAACCTGCAGGCTACCTCCTGGTATCTGCGCTGCCGCTGTCGTGCACAGCAGGGACACACGGGAGGACTGCTAAAAGCAGCCCCTCAGGAAAAATACAGTGGCAGAATGGGATATCCATCTCGTATTAATAGGAAATATAGGAAAAAGCCTTTACAGGAATCCTGTTTTCGTAAGGATCTTTGACACCCACAGTTGAGCTGACCGAACGACTTTGGAAGTTTCATTCCCCAAAGTGCTCCCAGGTCGGTGTGCCTACCCCAGCGGAGAGCTCGCTCCGGTCCTCCACGTGTGGCTTGACCCAGGTTCTCCAGTAGGGACCAGGTAACAGTGAGTCCCACAAGGCTGGGCATGCCTCTGGAGAGTCTGGATCTTTTAAAGTCATTTCCTCCTGCCTTCCTGAAGAGCTGCTCTGCTTTCCATATCCCATCTTGGGTGAGCACTGCTCCAGGACACAAGGTAAGAGGGTGATGCCTTCGCCACTGTTGCCCTGCCCATGTCTCAGCAGGCACTCTGGCCTCTGCTGGATGGGGCAAAACCAGAAATTCAGGCCTTAGACATCTCTAAACTATGGGATTTGGTCTCTCAGCCTCAGCCCTGTGAAGACAGAGGGTGCTTCCCAGCTTGGGTACAGCATGGAGAAGTCAAAGAAGAGAAGGTTCATGCATTATAGGCATGTTTGGAAGGAGGTGGAAGGAACAAACAGGCCAGTAACTCTCAAGAAAACATTTTGCCCATGCTATTTTGAGTTTATATTCATTCCTGAACAATGTCATCCTTTTTTTTTTCTCTTTTTTTTTTTTTCCTTTTTTCAAATGGGATGTTGACATGCAAGCTGCAGCTCTATGCTGCATGTATTTCATAAATGGAGTTACTCGCCACAGCCATCCCAAATCCTCCTGTTCAAAACCAGGATCTGTGGAATTTGGTGGCATCCTACGATGCCTCAAGAAAATATAGAAGAATGGCAAGAGACTGCTTCTTACTACTAAGATGGAAAAAAAAAAATCTGGAAAGATGATGAAGCACAGCCTCTGGTAGGATGACAATGTCCTGCTGGTCCTGTACTCATTACACTTTATGCTTACGGTGTCCCAGTCTTTGTAAATTAGTGTCCTCTTGCCCTCCAGGCTGTCTCTCTGATAATTATCTTAACTGACTGTGTTAGAATGTGCCAGTTACTCCAAATACTCTATCCAACTGGGACGCCCTGTCTTTGGGATTCACACAGGACAGTGTCACACCGTGGAGACACAGATGGACAGGTTTGTGTATGTAAAGGTACATTGAGGGCTGAGTTCACTTAAAGAACATACTAAAAATGCTTAGCATTTAAAATATTGAAACAAGAAAGCGGACAGAAGTATTTTTCAACCTTTGTAAACCCCAAAGTTAAAAGCAAATCTAAGTTATATTAGGTATTTCCAGGCTGTTTATATGCAGGAGTTATCCCAGCCTGCTTCTCCCTTCCCATTCATTCTCTTCTTAAACATGTCATGCAGCCTTGACTTAAAATTTTGAGGAGCTGAGCTTCCTAATCAAAATAAACGAACCCATTATCAGTAGCTATAAATTAACCCACCAGCTAGCGCACCGGGAATGTCAGCTAATCCCAGCTAACTCACCAGAAACACGCAGTTCCCAGGAGAGGGGCAGCTACATTTCTTCTGCGAGCCCTGCCGTCTGAAGACGTCTGCCCCGAGCACCCGTCAGCGCCTTCCTACGGTGACCAAGGCTGCCCGTCCTCCTCCTCTCCGAGTGCTCCGGGCTGTGATTCACCCTGCTCCTGAGTCATGCGTGAAGGCTAGTCCAACAGGTGAGGTTTGCTCCGGTCCCTGAAAAAAAAACACACCTCTTTAGTGGGTCCATTTACAGCACGGGGTGAACGACCTTTTCCCAAAGAATGAACCGTAGGAAACTTGCAGTTTATTTGCTCAAGCTATTGGCATTATCAGTATTAAAAGAGCATGCCGATTAAAATGGCGCTGTAATAAGTTACCCCAGGGGTTAAAATAAGGGATACGGTTCGTTCTGCCTGGCTCCGTCCTCACTGCATAAAGGAAATGTGTCCTGATAAGCAGGCAATCGCCCTTTTTTTTTTTTTTTTTTTTTTTTTTTTTTTTAAAGTGAATGGTCATTCTAAGGAGCTCGGAGCATCTTAAAGAGTGCTTGGTTTTGCAGACAAACGCAAAGCACCCATCAGAGATTGTGCCATCTGTGTTAAAGGTAACGGGCATCTGAGTTGGCCAAGTTAACAGACTGCCAAGAGGCTTTGCAGCTCGAGAAGGCTGGTGTGGTGTCTTTCTGTGCCAGACACATTTGGGGAAGAGGATTCATTTTCAATACAGTCTTGGTGCGCTTCCTGATCCATGGATATCCAAGCTGGATCTCTCTCAGTGATGGGCTTTGTGCACACAGCTAGCACTGGTTAGCTTCAGCTTAAGGGGAGTCTCCACATGTTCACCCTGTTCTTGGTGTTTTCCAGCTTGAAATAAAGTGCCTTTGGCATTGCAGCCCTGCTCCAGACTGATTAATCTTTTGAATCCCACTCTACATCCGACTCAGAGCTTCCCCTGACTGCCCCTGTGCAACATCACCCAGAGACAGAAGGGTTTCGCTGGTCAGTGTCAGCCTGGCAGGGCTCAGGTCAGAGCTCACACTCAGAGACACATCCTCTGGGAAACAAGGAGGGACAGCACACCACGCTGCAAATCATCTTCTCTTCCCTCCTCCTTTCATTTTGGGTCATTTAAAAATACACCTGGCCAGCGTAGCGCAGTCTCCAAGGAGAAGGATGGAGAAGCTAACCATGGCAAAGAAGGGGCTGGACCAGCACAGGACTGAAAAGCCCCAGCAGGTCCCTTTTCATCCCAGGTTCCTACATAGCTTGACTTAAAAGTCTGGGCACCGTCCTGCCTCGGTGCTGCTCAGAAGCAATCTTTTCAGCAACCAGCGTGAGTGTTTTATTTCAAGCTTCCCCTGACAACACTGGCACTCTTTAATGAGAGATATCTCTTTACTTCTTGGAGACACTTTCAGTGTCTTTGGCTAGGAAGCAAAGTGTAGATAGGACGTTGATTTGTGTTCTGCTTCCTCCTAAGATTTGTCTTTACTACTCATAGGAAGAACTCCTTTGACCTTGACATTTTAATTTTGCTTATCTTTTTTGATCCCTTCTGTGTCTTTGACCCGAAATGCCTGGTTACAGAATAACTAAACATTCAGAGTATTTTTTTTTCCATGTACAAAAGCAGAGTTCAAATCCAGCAGGAAAGCTGCTTTTCTTTTTTTCCTTTTCTTTTTTTTTCTTTATTTTTTTCTTTCTTTTTTTTTTTCTTTCTTTTTTTTTCTTTTTTTTTTCTTTTTTCTTTTTGTTTCGTTTCATTCCTTTTTTTTTTTTTTTTTTTTTTTTTTTTGAATAATTTATTGCTTTCCCTGCTGTAAAAAATGCACCCAGACAAATCTTTAGTTAAATGTCATGTGCACTGTGGACAAGGCATAGAACAACATTAGACTGTTTGAATTATACTGGTTGCATCAGAGCTGAGGATGGATTACTTGGGATTAAGTTATGTTAGAGTGAATTTAAGTCCACTTCATAAATGTAATGCAAATTAAATATTAATTATTTCATGAGTAAGCCTGGCAGAAGCCCAGCATGGACTTGAAGTATTTCCAGGAGCCTTAACTACAGACAGAACTGAGAATACCTCTCCAAGGCTTAAGTTCACCTCACTTCTGTTCAGATAGAAGGCAAAGCTCCTTACACAGTGCAGATGTGCCACTGGCACTTTTCACTTTTCGTGTGCTTGGATCTAAGAGCAAAATATTAATACTGAGCAGCACTTGAGTGCTGGGTTTAAACTGCCAGCTTTTGGACGGTGCTTGTGCCTTCTAAACATGTGTGGTATGTTCCTGGCTGTTCTGAAGGCCACGAAGTGTTGGTGATAAATCCAGGGTTTCACCCAAGATCTCAGCTGATATTTTCCTGCACGACGCAGAACATTTTCTTCAGTTTAGTCCATGCAAGGGCGTAATGCTAGTGATGAGAACAAGCAATGTTCTCCCACACCATCAGCCTTTGCTTCAGGTCTAAGCCAGCCGCTGCACATCTAGCCATGTCCATCAGCCAATTCTTTCCCGAATTGCTCCCTCTGCTTTTGGAAACCATGAATATTTTCAGCATCTGAGATAATTATGTGGTCAAATTACACACTGTGTGAAACACTACTTCCTCTCTTGTGGAGCCTGATAGCAGCAAGTGCCTGATAATGCTTCTTGCAATCTCTTAGTTTTGTGCAACAACTAACTGTTCCTTGTTTACCAGCCCCATACTATTAATGATCAGACAGGCTCCTAGCCTGCCCTTCTCCTCGCATCTGTTTTGCAAGCAGAAATATAGAAATATGCTGGTTACTGTAATCTCTTCTTGAACAGAAGCCCTTCCTGCATCCTTGTTCCCCTCTTGTTTATCTTTTTTTTTTTTTTTTTTTTTTTTTTTTTTTTTTTTTTTTTTTTTCCCCAGAAATATACACACCCTGACATGAGCTGACTGGAATTGCACAGTGGCCTGGATGTTACAGAACTGAGTATTTTCATGGGGCTCCACTAATAATACAGAATTAAGCTTTTTGGAGCAATTGATTTTTATGCATTGACACTCAACTATGAAATTATCTTGGTATTTAATATTCTCCTTTTCTTGGAATGTATGGGACATAATCGCCACATTTAGGATTGCTTGGCTCTTTTATTACCTTTCTCATTTACACTTTCCCATCAGTTCTCCTATGTTTCTACCAGTGGAGATGGAGGCACACTCTGTGTCAGAGGGGAAAAAGCCCTGATGATGGCCAAACAGATAAGAAAGAGGGAGTAAAAACACATAGTGCTATTTAATGTGGCACAAAATCTCATGTTCCTTAATGATCCTTCCCCAGTGCATCCTCCTGACATGAACTGTCCTCTTATTTCCACATAATTTACATGTTTTCACTGGCATATATAAATTGTTCCCATATTCTTATGTACTCTGTTTGAGAAATGCCTAATGCCAAAGGCACTAGGCTATGTCGTCATTTAGATATATAGGGAATTGCTGTGTGTAATTTACACTAAATGAACATCCACACAAATAAACCATCTTCCCATGGGGGAAAAGAATGTCCTCAGCAGAACTGATAAAATATTTTGTTTCTTATGTTATGGGAGAAGACAGTTCTTCAAGTGATTATCCTGACCTCATGACTTACAAGAAAACATTCTTCAAATTATAATCACTGTTAAAACAAAGCTGTCTGCTGGGCCAGCCACAGAAATTAACACTGCAGCTGCCCATCTGCGTTGGAGAAAGGGAAGAACCAGTGGCTGCAGTGTTAGCACCCCTTTTTGCCTGGATATTTCTTTATGTTAACTCAGCACTGATGCCAAGCAGTATCAGAAATGTGTCCAGAAATGGGTTACGATGTTGGTGAAGTGCTTGGGACACCAGTCCTGTGAGGAGCAGCTGAGGGAACTGGGGGTGTTCAGTCTAGGGGAGGCTGAGGGCAGAGCTCATTGCTCTCTGCAGTGACCTGAAAGGGAGGTGTGGGGAGCTGGGGGTCGGCCTCTTCTCACAGATAACCACTGATAGGACTACAGGGAATGGCCTCAAGGTGTGCTAGGGTGGAAATCAGGACAAATTTATCCTCAGTGGTCAGAACGGAGAGCTTAGGGATATGGTTTAGTGGGGACTGTTAGCGTTAGGTCAGAGGTTGGACTCGATGATCTTGAGGTCTCTTCCAACCTAGAAATTCTGTGTGATTCTGTGATTCTGTGATAACGGGTTGTGCAGGGAGGTGGTGGAGTCACCATCCCTGGGGGGTGTCCAAGCTTGGACGTGGTGCTTGGGGACACGGTTTAGTGGGCGACACTGGTGGCTGGACCAGCAGATCCTGAAGGGATTTCCCAACCCTAATTACTCGCTGACTGCACGATAAAACCCCGAGGCGTGGAGGTGGCACCTAAAACCGACACCCCCCCTCCCCGCCCCGCCATGGCGGCCCCGCCTCAGCAGCGCCATGTCGTGACGCCCCCCGGAGGCGCCGGAAGCGCCGCCATGCGGGGCCGGCTGCTGCGGGCCTGGCGTGAGGGGCTGAAGGCGGCGGGCGGCGGGGCCCGGAGGGAGCCGCCATGGAGGGTGCTCTTCTTCGGCACCGACCGCTTCGCCGTCACCGCCCTGAGAGCCCTGCAGGCCGCCAGGTACCGCTCGGTTGGCGCCCGGTGTCCTGGCTGCCGCCATTGAGGGGGGGGTGTGGGGAGGGGCTGGGGGAAAGGGGGTGAGGGGGGTGAGGGAGGGCAAGGGATGGGGGGGCACTGAGGGGAATGGGGGAGGGCTGGGGGTGAGGGGAGGTAGGGTTGGGAGAGGGTTGGGGCTGAGGGGAACGAGGGAGGGCTGGGGGTGGAAGGGATGGGGAAGGGAAGGGGCTGAGGGGGTCGGGGAGGGGCAGGGATGGGGTTCAGGGGGTGCTGGGGGAGGGCAGGGCCCGTGGGGTGGTGTGGAAGGGAGGGGAGGCACCGTGGGGTGGGATGGGGACCGTGGAGATACGTGTGGGACCGTGGAGAAAAAGCAGGGGTGGTAAGGGGATGGGGTTTGGAGTGGGGGGTGAGGATTGTGGGGATTGGGGACAGGGTTTGGGATTGAGAGGGGGAGCTGGGGTGGTGAGGGGGCTGGGGACCACCTAGTGGGTAGGACTTGAAGAGGTGGGCATTGTGGAAACGGACTGCAGCAAGGGGTGGGTGTGAGCCAGCCTTTGTCTCTCCTTAGCTCTGCCTGCATGAGTCCTTCAGTGCTTTGTCCACCTCAGGGAGCCCAGCAAGGACTTGCTCGTGTCCAGGTTGGAGGTGGTGACCCTGCCCTCCCGCCTGCCCAGAGGCCTGCCCGTGAAGAGCTGTGCCCAGGAGCTCCAGCTGCCTGTTCACGAGTGGCCAAACACGGGGCCTGTGGGGCAGTTTGATGTTGGTGTGGTGGCATCCTTTGGACGGCTCCTAAGCGAGGACCTTATTCTGCAGTTCCCATAGTAAGTGAGCTGACAAGACATCTGCCACTGATTCATTAGAAAAAACGGGCTCCACTTTTGAATGTCACTGTAATCAGTGCCTAGGATTTGTAGCAGGCAAGGTGAGCTTCTTCCTGACGGTTATCTGCTTAGCCTGAGTCCTACTTCTGTCTCTGTGTTGATGGAGAGCTATGGAGACGTTCAGCGTAAGACATTTACCTTTCTTTCCCTCTCATCTCCCTTTCTGTATTCACTGAGAAGCTGAAGATTATGTAGTGTGAATTGTCCTTTAAGTGCATAAACCAGTAACGCATCAGAAAGTCTGAGCAAATAATTCCTAAGGTAGCCTCAGTGTAATCGGTGCTGCACACCCATTTGTATACATGTCAGTTCTGTTCCTATTCTAACTTTAAAATACTCCATTTCAGTGGCGTGCTGAATGTCCATCCCAGCTTTCTCCCGCGATGGCGTGGTCCT